GACATCACTTGTAAATAAAATATATATTGTATACAATATATAATGATAAAGTTGAGTAATTACGTAAATTAAAAATCCTGCGATATATACAAAATACTATATATACAATTGAAGGTATGGCGTCAGCTGTATTTTTTTTATAGGCGATGCTAGGACTGTTTCCAGTTGATTTTTTGTATATTTATTGTGATGCTTGGGACGGTGATCCAAATTTACGTTCTAGCATAGCTAAAATCTGTAATAAATTAAATAGTAAGAATGTATCCAGCATATCATAGTAAACAAGAGATTAATGACCCAGCAACTGCCATTAAGCTTAAACAAGAAATTGCCTCTTTTAAAAGAACAATTAGCTAAAGCTAAAAGTGATGTCAATAACGTAACTTCATCTTCACATCGTTCAACAGAAGGTGAATCCTTGATGCCAGCAGGCATCACAACGCTTAAACCTCCATCAAAACCAAGACCTCGTCGACATAGTTCATCCGAATCATGGAGTCCTAAAGAAATTACCAGACGTACATCTAAAAATCTATTGACATAATAATGCCTACTCATGCGAGTATGCCAAGCATCATGTCTTCAGGAGGACGTGTATTTGGAGATAAAGAACCTGAAGAACAGGTAATCTAAATTTCCATGCCATTAAATTTTATAAGAAACTTTAACACTATGTAAAAGAATAAATTATTATAACTTTCTCTTTTATAATTAATAGATCATAAGACTTTTTGTGCGCTTGATGATGGGATTATCAATATGTTGATCAGATCCTTAAAAATAACTCTTACATTCTTACAAAAAATATGGTCCCAAAAAGAAATATTATTTCCTGCTCGAACTATCAGTCTTATAGTGAAACAAATGTGGAAATATGGATTTATAAAAGAGTCTGAAAGACTATTTGCGAACGTTATGAAGACCATTCAGGAAGATGTCATGGTATGTTAGATAATAGACCTGCATACTTAATGCAATGCACGTTTTTCTTGACTAATACTCTTATATTTTATAAGATTTTGAAGAAGACGATTCAATTCTTTCAGGAGCATATTGGATTTCTAATGTGCACGAATTATTATAATTTGCTAATGTTGCTGAGAAAGATATGTTGCATGGAGTTGATCTAATATATGATACAAGTAGAAATTTTGAATGACATGATTGCGAAAGACTTGTGTTTATTGTTAAATACGATTTGGAAAGTTTAGAATATAACATACTAGCGAATGACCCGTGCCTTCGGCATAGGATATCTAACCTATTAATTTACCAGAAGTTTGACAAAGCAAACAGATATTAAAATGTGATCTCTATCACTTTCCCGACAACCATTTTCCCAATCAACCAAATTCTGACAAAAATTGGCCGAAACTAACACTAATCCCAAATTAATGCAGGTGAACTTGTTGTGATTTTGATATTGAGAAAAATGATAGGTTCCCATCAAAATGTATTTTGCAAAAAGAAAAAATACCTATCATTGAAATTATGAGAACCAGAAGATTTTCTATTTACTACTGAAATAGTAAACACATCTTACTGTTGAAACAGAACTCTCATTATTGAATTACAAATCTTTATGTTGAAATCATGAAAATATACTCATCGAATCATGAAACTGTTACAATTATTACTTATATGCTACTAAGTTGTAAACCAATTATTGTTAAATGCAACTGTGCCTGTTGTTAAAAACAAACCAATCTATCATTGAAATTATGAATCTATTTACTTACTACTGAAATTACAAACCTAGCAATTGCTAAAATTATGAACCTACCAATCTTGAAATCTCGAATCTACTTATTCTTGTAATTGTGAACCCATCTATTATTAAAATATGAATTCACACATTAATAAAATTATAAATCTATTTTATTTACTGTAAAATCATAAGTGCAATTTCTATTACTATATTAAAATTACAAACCTAGCGACAAGTTCTGCTTTAAAAGAACATGGCCAATATTTAATTTGGGCATGAAATCTGTGTAGTATATCGCTTTGATGAATTTGTATCCATCCAATACCTATAGAGCAGTTTGGTGAGCCAAGGTCAAGAACTGACCCATCTGTGTAGAATGTAATTTCAGAGAGTTGAGTGTTCGAGTTGGCAATAGCCTAAAGAGTATTAGTAAGTGGTCCAGATTCGAATATAGATGGGATCTCAGCAAAATTATGAGAAATATTGGGAGTAGGTAGAATGTGAAGAGGGTGACGGATAGCAATAGAGTATATTAAGTCTAAAAAGTTTGAATAAGGCTTAATGGTTTTGTTTTGAGTGTTGTAAATGCAAAGGAATTTAGATACTAGATTAATTGGAATAAATAGTGTATATTTGTTAGCAATGAGATTAGAGTTAAGAGAACAACCAGAACATAAATTAAAGTCAATAGGAGGAGTTGGATATAATTTAGTAAATTGTGATTAAAAAGAGCATTGCCAGTGTATTATGAGAACTTGACCAGTTGGAGTGGTCTGTCTTCTTGCTTTGCCTACTATTATTTGGTTATGAATAGTAGTTATGAGCTATGGTTTGGGTTTTAGAGAGAAGTGTCCAGTAGAGAAACAGTAATGGTTAATATCAGGAAGGTTATAGTGGTTATCA